CACTCACCTCAGCCTCCCAAAGGCACGGGATTACAGGCTGAGCCACCGAGCCTGACTATTTCTTGATAATTTTTATATTAAAATTTTGAAATTTAAACCTACAATCTGAAGTTGTTAGATTTTTATCCCTTTATTGCAAAGGTTTTTATCCTAAACAGATGTCAGTGGGCCCTGAAACCCATGAATTGCTTTCAAAACTCTAGATATGTAATTTTTTGTTTTTCTGAACTGAGTAAATTCTTGAATGGACTGTGATCCAAAACACATAGTTTTGAAAGTGGGCTATACTGTGAATTATAATAAAAAATCTGAAATAATAATTGTAAAATTGCTTAAAGCATCCTGAAAACAATGTTGAAAGAAAGTTTATTTTTAATGATGAAAACTGGAAAATCTCTGTTTATAGTACTGTATTGAACTCGAAACCTTGAGGGAATTAGAGTAAATAACACCTTGCTGGTAGAAGAGAGGCCATAAGAGTGAATTATATCCTATGAAAGATACATCTTAGCCATTTATCCCTTTTTTTTTTTTTGAGTTGGAGTCTCACTCTGTCGCCCAGATTGGAGTGCAGTGGCCACTCCCGGCCACCGCACCCTCGACCTGCTGGGCTCCAGCGATCCTTCCGCCTCAGCCTTCCAAGTAGCTGGAATTACAGGCGTGCACTACCACGCCCAGCTGATTTTTTGATTTATTGTAGAGATGAGGTCTCGCTGCCCAGGCGGGTCTCGAACCCGCGGGCTCAGGCAATCCACTCACCTCAGCCTCCCAAAGGCGCGGGATTACAGGCTGAGCCACCGAGCCCGGCTTATCCCTTTTTTTAAATGGATAACATTTATTTTGCCTTCTTAACAAATCCAAAAAAGTATGTTGCTTTATATTAAATGGTTCAGATCATTATTTAATATAAGTGATGACCATATTTATTTTTGTATTGTAGGAAAACGTATTTTTTCCTAATAGTTGAAAAGATGACTAAAGCTATATAACACAGACCATGCTAAAAATAAAGAACAAGTTGGAAACAGCCCATGCAGATTCCCAAAATGCATTTTACCTTAGTATAAGAAAGAATAAATTTTTAAAATAATTCTATTACAACTAGGATTATTTAAAAAGAAACATTTTAGTTACAGAAGAAAGTTGATACTGTACATTACAACTATTGAGTTATTTTATTTTATTTTATTTACTTATTTTTTGAGTTGGAGTCTCACTCTGTAACCCAGACTGGAGTGTAGTGGCTGCTCCTGGCCACCGCAGCCTCGACCCGCTGGGCTCCGGCGATCCTTCCGCCTCAGCCTTCGAAGTAGCTGCAACTACAGGCATGCGCTACCACGCCTGGCTAATTATTTTATTTTATTTTATTGTAGAGATGAGGTCTTGCCAAGTTGCCTAGGTGGGTCTCGAACCCACGGGCTCACAGAGTTTTTTTAAAAACTAATGTCTTTGGTAGACAGCAAGGCATAATTATTTTCTCTTAGAGAGTATTTAAAATACCTATTACAGACCATGCTCTTTTTCCAATTTAGCTTATATCTGCCTAATTAAATCACTATTTGGTTTGGGGCTAAGAGCCCACCCATTTTCTACCAATCAAACCACTTTTAGAGTGTTTATTTTAATTCCCCAATTTGTTAGCAAGGAAGAATCAGCATGGAGAGTTAAATTTCCTTCCTATAACTTTGTTTTGGTGGAGGTAGAGCCCATGTCAGGGAAGGCTGATTAATGTACAGGACTTATGCTCTTTCCCTTAAGTGAATAGACATACTTGACTATTGGACTATAAAGATTGCTTTTTTTTTTTTTTTGAGTTGAAGTCTCATTCTGTCACCCATACTGGAATGTAGTGGCACCCCCGGCCACCGCAGCCTCGACCTACTGGGCTCCCGTGATCCTTCGCCTCAGCCTTCCAAGTAGCTGGAACTACAGGCGCGCGCTACCACACCCGGCTAATTTTTTGATTTATTGTAGAGATGAGGTCTCGCCAAGTTGCCCAGGCGGGTCTCGAACCCACGGGCTCAGGCAATCCACTCACCTCAGCCTCCCAAGGCGCGGGATTACAGGCTGAGCCACCGAGCCCGGCCAAGATTGCTTTTAAGGAAGCTTGTTTTATTGTGGGGAAAGGGAATGGATGTTTTGTAGGAGAAAATAGTTTATGTAGCAGAATGAAAATTCCATGATTTTCGTCTTACTCTTTAAAAAATGTTTGGCCCAAGTGTATTTTTTTTTTTTTTTTTGAGTTGGAGTCTCACTCTGTCACCCAGGCTGGAGTGCAGTGGCCCTCCTGGCCACCGCAGCCTCGACCTGCTGGCCTCCGACGATCCTTCCGCCTCAGCCCTCCACGTAGCTGGAACTACAGGCGCGTGCTACCACTCTCGGCTAATTTTTTATTTATTGTAGAGATGCAGTCTCGCCAAGTTGCCCAAGTGGGTCTCGAACCCGCGGGCTCAGGCGATCCACTCACCTCGGCCTCCCAAGGCACGGGATTATAGTCTGAACCACCGAGCCCGGCTCCAAGTTTATTCTTAGACAGATTATATTTAAAATGTCAGCAATATTAATTTGCATAGCTCGAAGTCTTGAGTCATTTAGAAGAACTTTGCTACAGTTAACAGTTTTTATTGTCAATACAGACAATACAATTTTAAAACAACTTTGAATAATAATGAGTAAATAGCATGACTGAAGTGAAATTTTGTAGGGAATTATTATATGTTTCTAAAATTTAGTACCCTAGAGAGTTATAATTAATCAGTCCCTAATATAAAATATAAATATGAAACCTATTCTTATGTTTCTTGAAATGACATTAAATGTTGGAGAATTTAATTGTATAGTTATAATTAATGAAATTCAGGTTTTTAAAATCACATAAAATTTGGACAGTAAAAAATTGGAGCAAAATTTGATATTTTAAATATTTTGGCATATTTGATAAATTGATAAATTACCATGGTTAAGCTATATTGGTGAATCTATATCTATTACTGTCCTCCAATATTGTCTTTGCAAGGATTAGCATTAAATTTGAAAAATATGTGAAAACTGTCATAGTTGAAATCCTTATGACATTATTGTGCTCGTGTACAGGTTTGAGTATATGTGGAAGGTTTAGTTATATTTGGTTAATTTATTAATAATTGTGCGTTAAACTTTAATGTTTATGCAGTGTTTAAGTATTAGGAATATATTTGAAATAAATTCTCCAGATTTTTATATAAAGGGTTATTTACTTATTTATTTATTTATTTATTTATTTTTTGAATCGGAGTCTCACTCTGTCACCCAGACTGAAGTGCAGCGGCACGGTCACAGCCACCACAGTCTCGACCTGCTGGGCTCAGGCGATCCTTCCACCTCAGCCTTCCAAGTAGCTGGAACTACAGGCGTGCTCTACCACGCCCGACTAATTTTTTTGATTTATTGTAGAGATGAGGTCTCGCCAAGTTGCCCAGGAAGGTCTCGAACCCACGGGCTCAGGCAATCCACTCACCTCGGCCTCCCAAAGCGCTGGGATTACAGGCTGAGCCACCCAGCCCGGCATAAAGGGTTATTTAAATGCTCAAATTGATTGTTACACAATCGATCTCTAAAAAATAAACAAGGAAATACCTTGTTTTCATTTTTATTAATAGCTAAATTTTCAAATCAATTATGTTAAATTTGCAGCAGATAATTAAAACCAACTACAGTAATTTCAAGTAATGTACGTTTGCCAAATCTTTTTTATTTTTTTAGGAAACCATCCTCAATTACTGTTTGTATCTTTTATTAGTAATCTGGGCAAAGGGATGGTCACGAAGAAGTATGACACTTTTCCCTTTAAATGACATATAGATAGTTGAGGATTATTAAGAGTCTCAATGGGAAATTTTATCACAAAACCTGATTCTTAAAATGTTTGTATTTGGATATTGCTGTCATCAAAGGTTAGTTTTGAAGAATTTTCTTTAAAGTGTGAA